AAATATAATAATTATATATATTGAAGAATGGCTGCAAGTGATGATACCTACGAAAATGAAAATATATTGAAATTGAAATTAGAAATTGCACGATATCAATTAGCCATCGAAACAGAAAAAAGAAAAGGTGAAGAAGAAAAAAGAAAAATTGAAAAAGAAAAAAGAATACAAAAGAAATTCGACGTTATTATTGAAGAAGAAAGACGAAAAGCTGAAGAAGAAAAACGAAAAGCTGAAGAAGAAAAAAGAAAAGCTGAAGAAGAAAGAAGAAAAGCTGAAGAAGAAAAACGAAAAGCTGAAGAAGAAAGAAGAAAAGCTGAAGAAGAAAAACGAAAAGCTGAAGAAGAAAAACGAAAAGCTGAAGAAGAAAAACAAAAAGCTGAAGAAGAAAAACGAAACGCTGAAGAAGAAAAACGAAAAGCTGAAGAAGAAAAAAGAAAACAAAAGGAATTAAATAGAGAAATTGAACTAATAAAAACAAAACGAATGAAAATAACACAGGAACTATCTTCATCATCAATGATTAATATTTTAACGATATTGTCAGACCATGGTTCTTTTTATAATTTATTTGTACGTGATCATCTTCAGTCATTTGATATTAACAATGTATTAAATGATAATAATTATTTAAATGAGAATACAATAGAACTTATTCGAATATATATCAATAATGTTTCATCAATGTCAAATGCAAACGAACAGCAAATTAAATCAACATTTCAAGATTTAATATTGAATTTATTAAATGCATTAAATGATTGTACATTGTTGAAATATTTAGATATACAAGCATTACATCGTGTTATTGGCAAATTTTGTCCTGATTGCTGTTTTCTATTTAAAAATGTTAATATCGACACTGATCGAGAACATAAATGTTTACAAGATTTTATTGTTTGTGTTGGTGAATTTAAGAAATCTGATGTTTCGTCAGAAGCATCAATTGGACAAATATTACACTATTTACATTTACTATCAGTTATACAAAATCGTAAAAAAATTTATGGTTTTTTAACTAACGGCAAACAAATAAGTTTTTTTTATATTGAAAAAAAACATGAATGGAAAGAATCATACAATTTTTATAAAAGTCAAGATTTCGATATGTTTAATGAATATTCTAAAGAATCATTATCTGGTGATATGATGATAACAAATGAAGAATGGAAAAATAAATATTTAAATGAAGTTACTTGGAAAATATTTATAAACTTTTTAACAATGAATAACAAATTCTATGAATATACAACATTAAACATAAATCCTAGTGATAATTTATTTCAGAATAAATATAATATAAGAAAAAAATTGGGAAATGGTTTAACTTCAATGGTTTATTTGTTGGTAAAAAATGATAATAATTCTTTAAATGATGATATAGATCAATGTGTAATGAAAATATCTAAAAGTAGTTTATATAGTGAATATTTTGTGGAACTCACGTATGTTTTCGAAGAAAATAGTGAGTGTAAGTTTTAAGTTCGAGGTTGGCGGCTCCCCCCCC